TAAACTAAGTTTTAAAATTCTACTTTATACAAAGTATTGTACTTAACAAGAAAGAAGATCTGTATCAAGCTTTCTTGCTTCGAAGAGAGTTACCTTCTCCATGAAACGCTTTAAACTCAATATTGCCATCCTTTCCCTACAAAAAAAATGACAGTACTTGGTTGATTTAACATAAAAAACCACTACCAGCGATTTTAACTTGGATCAGACATAGACGACCACATACCTGTGAATCCTTTGATGAGTTTGGTTTTGAATTTCTCAAAAATTTCAGAGTACCAATTTTATAATCATAATCTGGTATACCTCTCTGGTACTGAGCTGACTTCGGAGTAGGAACATCTTCAGAAATGGATGTAGACTTCTTCTTTTTTCCATCAAGCCTGTCAGTTTTACAGTGTTGTTGTGGGTTACATAATATTCTACAGAGCAAAGAGCAAGCATTATAATATCACCAATGGAAAATTACAACCTACCTGTTACCTTCTCCCTTAAATGCAATGAAACCGGTTGGTTCTGGCATAAGTTCTGATGGATCTATTTGCATGTCTTCATCCTTTGCTGGAACTCGCTCTGGCTCTTTATAGCCAACTGGTGGAGCAAAATCCACCTGGGATAAATTAATTGCTAGGTTAAGATAAATAAATCAAGCAGTACCTATTGTAAAGTAATGCTAAAGTGGTAAACACATACATTCATATCACATTCAATTATGGTAACAGCAGGGCCTGGCTTGGTTTCTAAAACACAAAGTTCATAAACCTTATCATTATATTTGATGGCAATTACATCTCCTGTGGTCAGGCAAGCATAGAGACGGAGAGCATTCTCTAAAACCGCTTTGGGGTTTGTGATGTCTAAGAAATCTGGAGATTGAGGCTGGAAACGTGAAAATGTTGCAACTGGTAAAGATGTACTCTCTACATTTAGAAAGTCACCTTCTTGAAGCAAAAGATTGTGCATCATCTGCAACACAAAATTAAATATCCAGAAATATTTTACAGGGAATGGTTACTGCAATAAGAAGAAAAAGTTACCAAAATGTCTAAAACTTTACTAAAGAAGATACATACCCAATGAGGTAGGTAGACCTTTCCTTCATCAGCAACAAACTCCAATACACCACAATGAGTGATCCTATTGGTAAGTCTATTGGTCAATTTGAAAACCATAGGATAGATTATGTTCAGTCTTGTTAGTTGGTCCAGAGCAGAGGGAGGCATAATTACTGCAAGAGAATATTAATGTTTGACATTGCAGGCAACTCAAGGTGGCAAAAATTAACCAATATTGTTTTGAACTTACTTTTACCCCCTCGCTCAACATCATCGCGTTCATTGCCAGGCAACATCGACACAGAGAAACATTTATATTGCACATTGAATGGCCGGAGTGTTTCCGGAAACATGTTGAACCCAAACTGGAAAAAATAGGGCAACGTTTTATTTTAAAAAACACAGATTTGAAGTTCCTGATGAAGAAATACCATGAGTAACATATACAAAGACTGCCATGAATGCTGAGAGAAAATTTTAAACAATTAATCCAATTTTGAAATTTAATCAGCATATTTTCTTAAAAACAAGTTATTGGATAAGACTTTCATGAGAAATTGAAGGCAAGGCATTAAATAGAAAATTAGAATAAAAGAGGTGAGGAAACTTTAAGTCAGAGACATTAGATTTATAACAACTCTTTGACAGAATGTCAGTGGGGAAACATCAACATAACCTTCAACAAATAAATGAATCAGCATGAAAATGACAGGAATATTATTACCATTTTGATCGGCTTATCTTGCTCAAAATAGCGTAGGGATAATTTATTGCTTGTTGGACTAGCACAACCAACACCAAATTTCAACAAAAAACAAAGTTTTCCCCAGCAGTAAGGTAGTGCAAAACAATCAGATGGAGGATGGACAGACCGACATCACACTGACGTGGGTGGGGGAACAGGGGGAGAGAGGGAGGAGGGGGTTGCAGCAGCTGTGGTTAAACCCGCCACGTTTGAGTCAAGGCGCGAGTCCTTCGTCGATCTTATTAACCTTGACAAGTCAGCAATCAATACCTTTTTAATATTTTTCAAAAGAGAACAAAGGGATAGAAAATAAACATATTGTCACCGGAATAAAAATAAAATTTTGAAATCGGATGAGCAGTGGTGAGAGGCACCGGCGTTTTGCAAGGGTGGGGACTTAAGACTCGCAAGCAGCAAGCCGCTACTATCTGAGGCCAAATTGCGTTTATCGGGGAGCTTCCGCTACGGGTTTGACCGTTCTCGCCTTCCTTGCCTCGACCACTCTCGACAGCCGGGCAACTCCAATTGAACCTGAATCTGTCTCCCCCCCTCTCTCTCTCCCCGGGGAGCAGCGGTGGCATATAGAGAATTGAATTGAGCCTTATGGAGCCAAATTGTTTTGCACTTCTTCTTGTGCGACGCTGAAGAGCACAGCATTCCAGTCTTAAAAGTAGGTCAAAAACACTCACGTTTTAATTTGCCTTTGTTTGTCAGTCTTACTTCTGTCGAAATGCGGTCTAAAAGGATTTATTTTAGCTCCAGCAGATGGCTCAATCTAATACTCTATGAGGACCCTGCTCTCCCCGCACACAGGGAAGTGCCTCGTGCAGAGCAACAGAGACGAATGCTCTGTTTTGGACACTCACCCCCTCCCCCTCCCCCTCATGTGAGCATGGGTGCGGCCATAATGGTGGGGTGAACCCGTGCCGGACTGTTCTCGGTAATGAGCGCGACTCACAAGGTCCTGCTGGCTCATATTGCCGCCGCCCCTAGGCCGCCCGCCGAATCTCTTCCCGCCCGCCCGCGACTCCCTGGAAAGACAAAACCAATTACCAGGGAACAGGACAGGGACACATCGGTCAGCGCCGCCGCCGCGCTACGCCACGCCAGGCCACGCCACGCGGCGCCGCGCCGAGCCGGTCTATATATCCGGCCCGGCCACCGGAAGAGCACCTCACTCGTGGCACTTCCCCGCGCCAGGTCGCGCCCGTGTGAGACAGCCGTCTTCAGTACCGCAAGGTGGGTACGCACACTGACGCAGCCGGCGGGCACACGCACAGCCGGACACGGCATCAAGTGATGTCAGTGTCAAAGAGTTGATCATTTTGGTTGGCCTGAGTCGACGTCATGTTGATATCAAATGCCGTCACATGACGTCATCGAAGCAGGCCACCAAAATGACAACATTTTGACACTGACATCACTTTGTGTCATTTTTTTTATTTTTTTTTACGAAACCGTGTCCTCTGGCTGGGCAGCTGTGCCCGTTTGCGGGTGCGGCTGGCTAATTGACTTGATTAGATTGCAGAGGACCCGCCTATTGTTTTCCCTGCTCTGCTTAGCTCTGCCCTTCCCCTTCCCCTTTCCACCGCCTCACGCTCCGCCATCCTTTGCCCTCCACCGTCGCCCCCGGCCTTGGCCCGTGCAGGAATAGTGCAAATGACTGCCGAGTCTTTTGGGAAAGAGATGCAAGTCGGTTTGAGGTCTTGCTGCGGGGGCGCGTTAAGTGCGTGATTCGCAGCAAATGACTCGCAACGAAACGCGGGAGGTGTGGAAAGGTGGAGGCAGGCGGAGGCGGCCGCGGTCCGCCCGCCCAACGCCTTCATTTGGAAGGATGACAAGGGCGGGCAGGGCGGGCAGGACCGACAGGGCGGGCAGGGCGTCCACTGAAAGCTCCCGTTTCCACGCGCGCCCACAATTGTCAATATTGCGACAAACGTAAACTCACTAGAATGCTGGAATACAGGAGAGGCAAATTGGTGACCCTGATCGCTTTCTTACTGCCTGCGTGGTCACTGTCACTGCTCGCCGCACGAGACTGCGTCCGCGAAGCCCCGCGCGCCGCTGACCTCAGGGCCGCCGTCGACGGGTAGCTCTCCCCCTCAGAGTCTGTCGAAGGAGAAGGAGAGTGTCATGTAGGATGGAAGGGAGGGCAGGCTGGTGAAGTTCTCGGGCTTGCGTGGGAGTCATGTGCGTTCTGTCAACTCTGTCAACAGTCGCAGCGCTCAAACATGTCGCCGGCGCTAGTGCTCGTCGCCGTCCTCGCCCTGGCCGGCTGGCCGACCTGCGACGCGTACCCGGTGCCCGCGGACGGCATCGCCTTCTGGAAGATGGTGACCAGCCTGGGCGCGTCCATCTACGGCCAGCCGAGCGAGCTGACCGGCGAGCTGCTCAAGAAGTACTCGCCCGACTCGGGCGTCAACCCGGAGGAGCTGGGGGAGTACACGCAGGGCGACATCCTGTTCACCAACAAGGGCGCCGCCGGCTCGGCACTGGCGCGCAACGGCCTCAAGGCGCCGTCGGCGCGCTGGCCCGGCGCCGTGGTCCCATTCGAGATCTCGTACGGCTTTCGTAAGTTCAATGAATATGGCGATCAAAAGGAAAACAAAATGTCGCATCTCACACAAATTGTTGTCGGGTTTTGTTCGCCAAAACACTGTTGCATCCTTAGAGCGTTGCGCGTCACGTTAGGCAGTCGAGGCTAACGAACATCTCTCCCCCCTCAGCCCAGGCCGACCGGCAGATGATCCTCAACGCCATGGAGGAGTACCACAAGCACACGTGCATCCGCTTCGTGCCGCGCCGCGGCTCCGACGTCGACTACCTCTACATCACCAACGGCAACACGGGCTGCTGGTCCTCGGTGGGCCGCGTGGGCGGCCGCCAGGAGGTCAACCTCCAGACGCCCGGCTGCCTCACCAAGATCGGCACCCCCATGCACGAGCTGATGCACGCCATGGGCTTCATGCACGAGCAGAACCGGTGGGAGCGCGACGACTACGTCACCATCAACTGGCAGCACATTCAATCCGGTCAGTTCACCTGCAGGGACAGCTGGGCTGGGGGCGCCGGGCCCAGTTCAACATCAAATTTCGTGATTGAAATAATGCAATTATGTTTTGTCACAGGACGCAACAACAACTTCGACAAGGCGGACGCGTCCATGACCGACGGCCAGGGGGTAAACTACGACTACCGCAGTGTGATGCACTACTCGTCCAAGGCCTTCAGCAGGGACGGCAGCGACACCATCACGGCCAGGGTAAGTCGGGGGTGGCGAGGCTGCGGACGGCTGCGCGACGCGAGGTGAGGTGCAACGGTTGTCTACCCGCCCGGCGGATGGTTGCCTACCGGTCGGGCGGATGGTTGCCTGCCTACCCGCCCGGCGGATGGTTGCCTGCGCCAGCAAGCGCGCGCGCGCGTACCCCGCCCTTGCCATGCCAATGTGCCGTGCCATGTCCCCAGGTCGGAGGGGTGTCGATGGGCCAGAGGTCCGGCTTCAGCCGCGGGGACCTCAAGAAGTTGAGGCACATGTACAAGTGCGAGGGTGGCAAGTCCAAGCTGTGACCGGTGACCTCTGGTGACCTCTGCGCAGGCGTACCGCGGCGAACTCGGGCAGCGCGACGGCTTCAGCGACGGCGACATCAAGAAGCTGCAGTCCATGTACAAGTGCGTCGGTGGCAAGACAACGCTCCAAGACTGACCTGCGCCTACCTCGCGCGACGCTGCAGGAGGACGTTAGAAGGACCTCCCAGGTTCGTCCGCGCGTCTCCACGGCGACGAGACGTCGCCATTGTTCGACTGACTCGGCTCGGTCCGCCATTTCCTTCATCAGCCGAGCTCAGAGCTAGTTGATGGTGGAGAACACAAGGCGACCGAGCGTTCCGTTAGTTCCGGCGAGCCTGGAATAACACTTACTGACTCAGGAATACGAGAGTCCCTAGTTTTATAACATAGAATACGAATCAACAAACTGTACCAAAGAACAATCACATTTTTACACGGATAATAATAATAATAAATGAAATAAAACTCATGCCTATTCCTTTGTGCTGACTAACGTTACCCTGAAATCACAACGAAAGCTGAGCGACGGGTGGGGTGAGCTCTGTTTACCAGAACCAGAAAGAATAAACAACAAAAAGACAGCGACAAGCCCAAATCAAGGAGCCAAAATGCTGAAAATATGCCTCCGATTCGGCGCACTAGTTACAGTACAATGGAACAGATTGATAAATTCCGGTTGGAAACGAAAGGATGGGCCTCAAAGAGGGCCTAATCCTCTATACCCATCTCTACTCTCTTTGTTCCACAAACCAAAGCGGAGTCAAGGAACGCGTCGCAACTCCACCTGTCTGCATATCTCTCGGGGCTTCCGGCTATTTCAGCGCGACTGTTGAAAAGTACCCCACTATCAGTGTCCTGGCCACCCGGCCCCTTACATCGCCTCAATACCCATTTCCTGTTAAGTTTGCAAAGGGGGTGAGGTGGGGGTGGGGCCAGGG